TTATAGCTGGGTCCCCAGCCCTGGTGGGGGTTGTGCAGGACGCAACCAGTGGAGGTGTCTCTCTCACATCACCGTTTCTCTTTCTCTCTCCCTTCCTCCCTCCCTCCCAGTCTATCTGAAGATAAATGGAAAAATATATCCTCGGGTGAGGATTTAAAAACATAAATAAATAGCCCTGGCTAGTTTGGCTCAGCGGTTAGAGCATCAGCCCACAGACCAGAGAGACCTGGGTTGGGTTCCCACTAAGGGCACGTACCTTGGCTGCAGTTTGTCCCCATCCCCAGTTGGGGTTGTGTGGGTGGCAGTCAGTCGACGTGTCTCTCTCACATCAATGTTTCTCTCTCTCTCTTTCTCCCTCTCTATCTGAAGATAAATGCAAAAATGCCCTCGAGGATAAAATAAATAAATAACATGACAAGAGCAGATGATGTATAAGATATTTTCTTAGAAACTAACTCTCCCGAGAACAAATAGGTAAACAAAAGATGGCATAATTATGAAGACTCTGGTTAAAAGATAAAAAAGTTATGCCTGACTTGCACCATAACTCAGAAAACTAATCTTCCCTTTTAAAAAGCATATTAGCTCAACTGATGTGTCTCAGTGGTTGAGCGCCGTCCCCTGCACTAAGAGGTCGCCGGTTCGATTCTTGGTCAGGGCACATGCCCAGGTTGTGGGCCCAATCCCCAGTGGGGGGCATGCAGGAGGCAGCCAGTGAATGTTCTCTCTCATGGGTGTGTCTATCTCTCTCTCCCTGTCCCTTCCTCTCTCTCTCTAAACTCAATAAAGAAAAAAAATTAAAAAGAAAAGCATATTAGCCCCTTAATGATCCAAGATCCCAATACCAAAAACAGGAAAAAAATTTTAAAAAGGAGAGGTTAACTTGTTACCTTAGAGAATGGGCATAGAACTGCTTTATTTTTTTTCTTTATTGTTTTGTAGAAAGAGAGGAAGGGAGAAGGAGAGAGAGTTAGAAACATCAGTGAGAGAGAATGATTGGCCGCCTCCTGCATGCCCCCCACTGGGGATCAGGCCCACAACCTGAGCATGTGCCCCGACCGGGAATCAAACCAGCAACCTCTTGGTGCAGGGTGGATGCTCAACCACTGAGCCACACCAGCCAGGCTAGTACTGCTTTTTAATATAAGATAAGCAACAGCCCTGGCTGGTTTTCTCAGTGGTTAGAGCGTCGGCCCACGGACCAATGAGTTGCATGTTCGATTCCCGTCAAGGGCATGTACCTCAGTTGCAATTTGTCCCTGGCCCTGGTCGGGGTCAATTTGACTCTATCACACCGATGTTTCTCTCTGTCTCCCTCCCTCCCTCCTACTCTATCTGATAATAAGTAGAAAAATATCTTCAGGTTGAGGAATAAACATTTTTTAAAAAGATAAGCACCAAAAATTTGACATTCTAAACGATGAGCACAAATTCTTTAAATTTTTTAAATTAAAACTAAATAAATAGGTGAGTGGATAAATGAGATGTGTCATGTACATAAAGTGGAATATATTCAGCCACAAAAAGCAATGAACTACAACATAACGAACCTTAAAACGTGCTAAGTGAAAGAAGCCAGACATTTGAAACCACATCGTCTGCGTGGCATTTACGGAAACGTCCAGGAAAGGCGAGTCGACAGCCGCAGATCGCGATCGCCTGGGGCAGGACGTGGGAGTGGAAAAGGACTCGCAAAGTGGCCCGAGGAAAGTGTCGGAGGGAGACAGAAATCCTCTGTAACTAACTGCATAACTCTACATATTTCTTAAAAATCACCGCATTACCGTGGCTGGTTGGCACAGCGGTCAGAGCATCAGACCAAAGAGTCTGGGGTTTGATTCTGGTCAAGGGCACGTACCTTGGTTTCGGTTCGGTTCCAGCCCTGGTCAGGGTTGTGCGGCAGGCAACCAATCTCTCTCACACCGACTTTTCTCTCTCTATCTCCCTCCCACTCTATCTGAAGATAAATGGTAAAAAGCAACAACTTAAAAATCACTGAATTATATAGGTTCAATGAATGCATAAATTATACCTCCATAAGGATCTTTAAAATGAAAGACTCAGAAAGATGTACAGAAATAATAGTATGCTCAACCACCAGATTAACTTGTAAATATTTCGCCTTATTACTCACAAGCAAAATAAATCTTATAGAGACATTTTTTTAATTCTCAGGAAGGTTTTCCCCCCCTTCACAGTATCCAAAAGACCTATAGATTTTCACTATAAGATTCCTAGTGTAAGACCCCTGCAAGCAGCTCATAGAAAGATAAAGCTTGTCACCTAAAAAAAAGTCTGAAATCTCCTTCTCATATATAGTCATAAGCTAAGAATCCAGCGTAGAACCTAAGCCCCAGACATGGAGACAGCCATGTTGAAACAGAACATCAATCACATCCCTGAAATACCATATAGACCCCAAAAACGCATCTCGGAAACATTCAGGGTAGTTACCCCAGGGACTCCCAGTCTGGAGGGAGGTCTGTCTCTGAGTCGAGTGGACCGCAGCATCACCCCCAAAGCAGCTCATCACGGAGCACAGACTAGCAACCTTCAACTAATGAGACCCTTGGAGTATTCATCAGGACAAACGGACAAAGAGGCCAGGGAGAGATGGGAAGGACGTGGGTGGGGGGCTGCAGTTCTGACCCTCCGCAAGTCTCCAGATATTACCAGAGTCAGCAACTCACTGTACTTAGTCGCCCCACTGATGACTACGGCACATGGGGGGAGGTGACAAGGAGGAGACTCCCCAAGCCCTGAAAGCCTTCCTCAAGACTGGAGCACCTGCTACTGTCACATCTCAGGAGCTCACAGAAGTCACTAGGCTAAACATAGACCTCCTGCAGAAGTCCCCTTTCCTGCTCTTCCTGCAATGAGGGGAGGACGGAAGTCACAGGGGGCAAGGCGTGTGGACACGGCAGGTGTGAAGTTACACAGGGCGAGGCGCACGGAGAGAGCAGGCTCACCTCCTGCCCCGGTGACAGTCATCCCGCAGGACCACGTGGGCGCTGTGGTGGGACTAGGAAAAGTCTACACCAATCGTCACGTAACAATGACCTAATCATCTTAGTTCCATTAGGACTGCGGCAATCAACAGAATTTATCTGTAATTAGGAAAATTCCAAATCAAATATTTCAGATTTCTAAATCTAATTTCCTTAATACATAATTTTCAAGTACAAATGTCCTGTATTTCCCCATGAAAGATTTCTATTAGACACAGCAGCAGGTTCAAGTAGAAAAAACACGGGGACTCGGGATAAGAGGACCTAGTGATATATGAGGACATACATCACACGGCCACATGACCTTCTCTGGGCTTCAGAATTACAGGCACAAAGAGGCACTTGGCAATCTCAATAGGTCCTTTCCCAGTCTAAAATATAAAACACTGTGATTCTGAGACACTCCTGTAATTTCTCCTGGAAATACTACCCAAAGGCAGTAAATAATTTTATTACCACCAATAACACACTCATAAGACTTCGCACTCTCATAGATTCCAATAAAGTTCCGTGTGCTAGTTTTGAACACGTAATTCACATTTTCCTAGAACTATGCCACGCAAACCCCCCCCCCCCAACCACCTGCATCTGCAGAGTCTCCTCCTCCCTACAATGAGGGAGCAAGTCTCCCTCTCCATCAAAGGCTGGTCACGCCCTGCAAGCAGGTGCTCAGGGTGCCTCCTCTTCCCACCTCCCCAGGAGGCTCCTTCCATCACTGACCCACTCCCACGACTGCAGCGTCACACTGTTCCTCTAGATCATTTCAGTCAGGATAGTTAACACTGGACTCTGCCACCTTTGGGGGGAAAAAAACAAAATAAACGATCTTCCCTAGACCCCCCCCCCCATTCTTCCAGCATCAGCCCGACCACCCCAGTCTCAACATATAACTTCTTCAAGGAAAGGTCACCCCAAATCCATTCTCATCCACTCCTGTATTTACAGAGCAGTCAGAGTGATCTCTCCAGACAAACCTCATCACGACTCATCCCTCAAACTGCTCTTAGGGACGAAATCAAAATCCTTAACACGACCCAGCTTCATAAGCCCTGCGCCACTGGTCCTGGTAGACCCCACCTATGAATGAGGTTCATCTCCTACCATGTGCTCACTGTACCTGGCAAAGGACACCGGCCTCTTCCCCAAACATGCCAACCCCCTCCCATCCGGGGAGTCTGCCCCTCCCTCTGCTCGAGCGTTCTCCGTCACCGGCCAATTCCGATCATTCAGGTCCGCTTTAATCATGATGTCCTCATGGACGCCTTCTGTCATGAGTTAGACCAACCTGACCTTGTCGTTTTTTTCTGTTTTAGCGGCCAAGCGGCACGCTGCTTGCCTAGTATTTTAATTTTTTCTCACTTTAGTTGTTGGGAAGAAAGAGCTTCTAGTGCATCCGTAAAGCCAAAAAAAAAAAAGGTTTTTTTAAACTTGCATAAAGACATCTAAGTCCACCACTGAGCCTGTTTCGTCAAGTAAAGTTTCCACGTTATAAACTCAGTATTTCTTGTGGCTAAACTGGTAGATGAAACTAGAATCAATCACTGCAATCTTATGCTCATATTAATTTTTTTAAGAAAATATGTTTTCATTGATTTTTGAGAAAGGAAGGGAGAGGGAGAGAGAGAGAGAGATATCAATGAGAGAGAAACATCAACATCTGCTTGGCTGCCTCCTGCATGCCCCCTACTGGGGATCAAGCCACAACTCAGGCAGGTGCCCTGACTGTAAATCGAACCAGTGACCTCTGGGTACATGGGTCCGACGTTCAACCACTGAGCCACACCAACTGGGCTGCTCATACCAGTCTCAAACCACATAGCCAGGTTCTAATTTGTAGCATGTTTACACATTAACTGAACAACTGGAAAAGCTGATTAACTTCTCTGTGAATGAGAGGTCATCCCTGCAGAACAGACCCTGAGCCTGTATATCAACCACCCATCAGTGATTCTATCTTGGTTCAACGCAATGACTTCAGGTCTCTGGACTCACCAATACTCTGTCTCCGATTTTGAGCTCTCTCTCTCCTTTCTTGATGGAGCCAGCCTCTGAGAGGTTGGAGATCGATTCGCTGGCAGTTCTTGTGAGGTTGCTGATCGGAGGTGTAGCTGAAGGTTCCTTTGCTGTTGGCTGGGACGACTTCTGAGGAATATTTGAGGGGGTGGCTGGGGAGGAGGCCGTCATGCTGGCCACAGAAGTGGACAGAGGTGAAGTCGCTCTGGAAGGGTGAGTCGCCTGCAGGCCGTTAGCTTCATCTTCTGCCTGCAGCTTCCTCGCCAACTTTGAGGGTCGGGTGAATATGCCCTTTAAAGGTTCGCACTGGAAATACCGAACTCCTGCCACGGAACCATCATTCTTGCCTATGGGTTCATCTAGAACAATCCCGGCCCACTGGCCTGGGGCAAACTGGGTTTCTCCCAGAAACTGGATAAATCCAGGCTTGTTTCCGTTCACCCAAACTCGCTCCCCAACTCGAAAGTCGTCCACAAACTCCTCCTGCGTCTCAGAGGAAGGAGTGCTGGATGCTTTTTCACTCGATACTGTTTTTTCTACTGGAGCTGCGACTGAAAACAGAAGAAAGGATCAGAGGAGATTCCATTTCACAGTCAAGCAGACAACTCCTAACTTAAAGGAGAATAAACCAGAGAAAGCCAAAGGCAACAGGAGTAGCCACAACTCTTTTAGAGGTGTTCTGTTTTTGTTTTTTAGCAAGGAGGTAAAAATTACTTGATCCATCACTCTCATATTCAATGCTGGTGAAACTCAGCTGGTGAGATTTAATCCTTACTTGTAAGTAAGACTGAAAGAAGTTAAAACAAGGGAAAAAATTAGCCTTTTTTCAAAGTTCCTAATACAGGTCTGATTTCATTCTTTCGTCCATGCCTGACCCTGAACATCATGAACAAACACCCACTCAGACCCACGGAGACGGGCTTCGTGCCCACCTGGGAGCAGTCAGTGAGAGCTGACAAGGCTAGGCCCATTTAAGCAGAGATTCGCACGAGGTCTGGTGAAGAAGGGGTGCGTGCTGTGCTCCCTATCGTCGTGATTCCAAGACAACCACGCAAGCCCATTCCCTCGCTGACAGACGACAGTCACAGCGAGGAAGAGAGACAGCATCTGGCCCCACTAGGGCAAGATGACTTTGCACAATCTCTACTCTATGGTAAAGACAGAATTTAAAGTTTGCCAGAAATGTGGTGTTTACACTGGAAACGCATTCATGCATTCACCCAGCAAGCACTTAATACATATTTGGTATGAACTGGTAAAGAAAGCTCACATTCTTTTTTTTTTTTCTTTATTGATTTTAGAAAGAGAGGAAGGGAGAGGAGAGGGAGAGACATTGAAACATCGATGAGACAGAGCATCGACCGCCCCCTGCACGCCCCCCACTGGGGATGGGGCCCACAACCTGGGCACGTGCCCTGATTGAGAATGGAACCGGCGACCTCTCGGTGCATGAGAAAGCCCACATGCTTAATCACTCTTCCCTTTATTAGGCATATTGTGATCTTAGGACATGACACAAGCTCTCTGAGTTCAATTTCTTCATTTATAAGGGGAAAGTAATATCTGTCCTGAGGGTTTTTTTAAATGTAGATTAAGTAAGAAAATGTATTTATTTGTGCTGCCCGTGTTTTTTGCTCTCCAACCGCTCCGGGGAGAGTCCCAGGCATTGTTCTTTGCTGGGGGCAAACACTAAAGAAATACCTTCTCATTGTAAGGATCAAACACTGAAGGTACCCGACAACTATGTTATTATCTTACACTAAACCAACTAAATTAAATAAAGATAACCTACAACAAGATAAACACTTCACCGATTAAGACTTTTAGACATAGCCCTGGTTGGTCTGGCTCAGTGGGTAGAGCACCGGTCTGCGGTCCAGAGAGACCCGGGTTCGGTTCCCGCTAAGGGCACGTATCTCAGTTGCAGTTTGTGGGTCGTGTGGGTGGCAGCCACTCGATGTGTCCCTTTCACGTTGATGTTTCTCTCTTTCTTCCTCTCTCTCCTTCCTACTCTATCTGAACAAAAAATGAAAAAATGGCCTTGGGAGAGGATATAAAAAAAAGACTTTTAGACATAGCGTGGCAGGTGTGGCTCCGTGGACTGAGCATTGTTTCATGGACTGAGAGGTCCCAGTTCGATTCCCACTGGGGCACATGCCCAGGTTGCGGGCTCGATCCTAAGTAGGGGGCGTGCAGGAGGCAGCTGATTGATGTTTCTATCTCACATGGATGTTTCTATCTCTCTCTCCCTTCCTCTCCCTCAAAAAAAAGAAAAACAAAATTAAAAGAAAAAAAAGATGTTTAGACATAAAATGCTATTCTGTTCATTAAAACATTTTCAAATGTTTTCAAGAATGTGAAGTTATGTAAGATTGCCTTTGTAAATGTTTTCACACCGAAGTCTTCATATGGGCTGTAATTCATTTGCTCTCAAGGAAAACAAAGCGTTACCAGCAGCAGGTGTCTTCAAGGCTGTGCTTCCAGGCTTAAGGATCTTGGTAGGGACCTTCAGGCCGCTCGGTTTCAGCAGACTCATTGTCCTCGGTGTGTCCGGCCGCTTTCCTTGTGCCTGATGCCACTACCTTTCTCCGACCATTGATAGAGCTGTGGGTGGTTCTGCAGGGAAGTCAGTCTCTGGATTCAATCTGCAGAGAGAAAAATATAAAAAGAATTTAGAATTTACAGGAGGGAGGAAGTAGAAACAATAGTTATTATTAAAGTGGCTTTCATGGCCTAAACTTTTTCTTATACGTGCTAATAAACCATCTCTGCACTGCACCCAGGAACCTAGAAAACTCTAGATATGAATAACATGGAATGCTGCCGCGATGGGTTGAAAGCAATTTACTATCCTGAGGACAAGTAAACAGTAGTGATATATTCACCTTCCTTTACAGTGTCTAATAATACCAGCTCAGTACAGTGCCTACAAACACAACCCACAGAAGCGGGCTCAGAAACACGTGCGCCTCACTTAACGGGGGGAGGAGAAGGGCTTCCCGTTTTCATTTCATTCCCTTCATATTGCATAAGTTCTATGACCACAAGCCTATTTTAGCTGTGTGTTTTTTCCAATCCACACAATTATGCAATACTCATGTAAAAACATATGTATGTTAAGTTAGAGAAGGGTTCTGGCTCTAAGAAAAAGCCGTACCTGGAAAGTGCTGAAGGAAAATGATCTATGTTCCGTCCACAGGAACACAATAAACTTCTGATTTACGCAGGACCAGGTATGAATCTACAACTTTGGTCTCGGGTTTCACATGTTTAAGGAAATAAGGACATGTGACTGTTCGGGGAGGGCGGGGATAGGGCACACAGACAATGCTGCTCAAAAAATGGGATGTTGCCCGGTCAGTGTGGCTCAGTGGTTGAGCGTCAACCCATGCACCAAGAGGTCGTGGGTTCGATTCCCGGTCAGGGTACATGCCCAGGTTGTGGGCCTGATCCCTAGTGGGGGACATGCAGGAGGAGGCTAATCGATGTTGTCTCTCATCGATTCTTCTCTCTCTTCCTCTTTCTCTAAAATCAATAAAGAAAAACGATTTTTAAAAAATGGAATGTTGCCCTGGCCGGTTTGGCTCAGCAGTTGAAGCATTGGCCTAAGGACCAGAGAGTCCCAGGTTCGGTTCTTGCTAGAGGCATGTACAAAAAAAAAAAAAAAAAGGATGTTGAGTCTCTCTAATACTGACATGCTATGTGTAGAAGGGAAAAGAGGTAACAAAACAAAACATTGGGGGCCACATAATCTCTCAACTTAAACTCACAGAATCAAACTTAGAAGAAGGGTCCGATAGCTACTTAAATAAAAGACAGGAGCAGATAATTCATCAAATGCTTGCACAATCCTTAAGAAAATTATAGGTATTAACCCTCAGAGACTAGGTTTCTGGGTATCTGTGTAAACTAACACCTTTTCTTCCAACTCCAACTAAAACAGGTACAGAGAGCAAACCAATATATTCAAAACCCAAAGGTGACAACTTCTCAATTGTGATGTGCGTGTCTCTGGATCATAAATAACTGATACCGCTGATGATAACCAAGTCTCATCATTTCAAACTGTTACCTGCCCGGTGCCCTAGATATATCTGCACAGAACAAAAGTCTGATGTTTATTTGTCGGAACAGGAAAACTGATAGCCAGTTTCATAGCAAACAGAGCCGGTGGTTATCGGCAACAGCAATGCCACAGCAAACGGTTGACCGTGAGCTCATTCACAGAAAAATACTTCTGTTCCACTACTGAGTTATCTGCTTTCAGATGTCCTGCCAGAGGATGTTCTAAAACAGTGATTTCTTGATACAATCTTTTTCAGTAAACTATGAAGGGCCTAACATCAATGTCTTCACCTTTTTCTTTTGTATTGACTGACTTTAGAGAGCGAGAAAGGGAAAGGGAGAGAGAGAAAGAAACATCAATGAGAGAGAACCTCAATTGATTGCCTGTGCATCCCCCACCCCCGGGGAATGGGCCAGCAACATAAGCATGTGCCCTGACTGGGAATCGAACTGGTGACCTCCTGGTGCATGGGTTGATACCACTGAGCCACACCAGCCAGGCCAGTGTCTTTACTTTTTATCTACGGGAAGTCGCAGAAAAGTCAACACAAATCTAGCGATATGGGACAAAGCGGTACCTCATGGTGTCTGGAGAAGCGGGCCAGGCCTCAGCTCATCCCCTGCCACAAGCTGGGCAAACATCTTGAGCAATCCTGCCTGTGAGGTCATAACGATGACCTCACAAACAGGAATTCTGATGCTGGTCTGCCTCTGGATGCCACCTCAGCACTTGGAGGAAAACCCAGGTGGTCAGGAATCCCTGCATCCCAGCATGGGGCTGACGACTCGGGAAATGCGCCTCTCCCAATAAATCGTCCCCCCACCTCACATCAGTGGCATCCTCCCCACTGCTGAGCAGGACAGCAATGCAGGTGAGCAGAGTACAGCACACCCACCTAAGACCTCAGCTCGCAGCCAGGGACGTATTTTCACATATTTCACGTTTGCAGGTTTTCATCTGGGTTCAGTTTGAAACACCTTTTCTTAGTAGTCTCGCCTTGAAAATTAAGCTATATTTCAGAATTCTGAAAACTGAGTAGGAAGTCATCAGAAAGTTAACATGTTATCCCTGCCTTGCATTCTAATATATTGCTAACGTCAGTACTCATTATGTACTGTTTGCTAATACTGGGTGGGGATCGTGATGTGTAAGCAAGTTCATTTCAAAAACGCCCAAAGTGCACACCTGGCATCTCTGCAAGAGTCTATCTTTGCTGAGAAAAGGCAGCATCGCCGGGTTGTTATTACTGTGTTGCTCCCTTCCTGAGCTGTGGCATTTGCAAGCCAGCACAAAATAAGAATCAGTTAATTTTATTAATATTTCTATGTGGCTAAAAATTCTTAAATGGGAAGGAAATATAACACAGGAGTAATAATAATTATCTCCAGGTGCTGGGTTACTGTCAGTTTTTTATATCTTTGTGTTTTCTTGGGTTTCTCAAATTTTATTTAATAAACAGATATAATTTCATAAGCAGGAAAAAAAATTAATGATTTCTGAGGCACAATAGAATGTCTTCAACCAGGCAGTTAGGAAGTAGACTCTACTGGGCTGTTTTCTTTCTGTTTTTTAAAAAGTTTTTTTCCTCCTTTATTGATTTTAGGGAGAGAGTAAGTGAGAAGGAGAGAGAGATGGAAACATCGATGAGAGAGAACATCGATTGGCCACCTCCTGCACGCTCCCCACTGGGGATTTGGCCCACAACCTGGGCATGTGTGCTGACTGGGAATCGAACCAGCAACCTCTTGGTGCATGGGTTGATGCTCAACCACTGAGCCACACTGGCCGGACTGGGCTTTCTTTCCTTCCTTCCTTTTAAATTAATCCTCACCCAAGGTTATGCTTAGAGAGAAGAAGGGGAGAGGGGGAGAAAGGGAGAGAGAATCATCAATGTGAAAGCAAAACATCCATCCATCCATCAGCTGCCTCCTATACGCCCCCTACTGAGGATCGAGCCTGAAACCCTGGCATGAGCTCCGACCAAGACGACCAGGAATCGAACTGGTGCTCAGGGCCACATTCCACCAACCGAGCCACACCCACCAGGGCAGGTCCTACTGGGTTGCTTTTACTAGGAACTTAAATGCAGCACAAGGGCAGGAGGAGGAGGAGATATGCATGTGCAGGAGGCAGGTATTTACCAGACCATTTTTCTTCCTGGTGGAACAGGCCGTATTTCCCAGCTTCCTTTGCAGATCAGTGTGGCCATGTGACTGACGTCTAGCCAATGGAATGAGAGGAGTGTCTGAACCGCGTGCCACTTCTAGGCCTCACCCATAAAACCTTCGCGTGTGCGATCCCCCACGCTCTAGGCCCTGCCAACTGCCCGGAGATGAAACTGGGCCATGTCAAAAGCATGGGCTGAGGGCAGCAGGGTCACAACATGGAAGAAGCCTGAACCCCTTCTCCCTCCTCCCTCATCTGGACAAACCTATCCTGGACTTTTCCATAACTGAAAATAAACCTTCATCTGTAAGTGACTAAAATTAGTAGGGTATTTACAGCAGCTCCCGTATCCTACCTAATACAGTGGCAAAGAGAGAAAAACTTTGCTCAGAGCTCTGCAGTCATCTTGGCTAAGTAAGTTACTCAAAGAAACTTCTCGGACGAGCACCTGAGATAGAAATGCTTCAAACCACAAAAGGCATAATTATATGGATAAGTAAAAGTACTACAGCCAATTCAAACTTAATAAGAACACTGGTGATGAGTCGGTAACTGTTCAAGTTAGATGATGGTACTATTCTCTCTACTTCTGTATGTTTGGCATCTTCCATACACAAAAATTTTATTGTAGAAGATAGTTTAGTAAAATCCAAACCACGCTGCCTCAACACTTCATGACCTTAAAAAATACTTAAGCAATGTACAGAAACAACAGGTTCCTCAAAACAAGCAGTTCCCCAAAACAAGCCTCGTGTGAACTATGGTCAAGTAAAAAGGAATCACATTCTTCATAACTCTTCTCTTATTCCTTAAGGTTTTATGTAGTTTTTGTTTTGCTTTTTAGTTTACCCATAAAAGAATTGTGGCTTAAGAACACAAACGTATAAATAGCAAGTTAGACTAGGAAATGAACACCAGGGTTCTGTCCCAGCTGGATGACCTCAAACCGGAGTACAACCCCTTCCCAGACCTTGGTATCTCCCTCATCTACGACCTGAGGACACTAATTAAATAAGGTGCATTTCTAACTCCATCCTCGTGTGGTCCCACTGTTTTGGATTTCAAATCCACACCCAAGTGGAAGGGCAAGGATTCAGGAGTGAAAGGGGAGCGGCTGCCGCTGTAGGGAGCCCTCCATGGGGCGGAACAACCTGAATCCGATAAGATCAGCTGCCACCAAATCCAGCACCGCCCGGTGCTCCCCAGGACCGCGCTGTGTCATCCGAGGCAAATCTCCTCTCCACACTCCCCCTCGGTCCCTCTAGAGTCCGTTTCGTCCCATCAGCGAAACGAACATACTCCTTTATTTACTACCTCTGGAAATTCTCCTGGGAGGCAAAGGGGAGTCGAAGAACCGGCCGTGAATTTAATCTGTCTGGAACAAGTGTCACACCGGGCCTCCAGGAAAGACTGCCCGCTCCAGTCCAGGGACCCTGAGGAAGGCCAGCCACACGCAGGTTAAGTGACTTACCTGTAGACAACTGCACTGAGTCTTCTGAGCTCCCTTCCAATCCTAAAATGCTATCTGACCGTGAACTTCATAACCGAAAGGAAAGGGAAAGAAGTTCTGAGAATAATGGAAGTCTCGTTTGAGAGAGAGAGAGGTTTCTGAAGCTTGTTTTCAAGCCAAGCGAGAGCAGAAGTCAGAGGCTGTGTTCTAATACCATATTCCTGCGCTCGAGAGGTTCATTCACAGCTTGATCCTGTTCCCCTGAAGTCACGGTTATGTAAGTGTCTGCTGTATGCTGTGTCACTTGCTGCCCCCCACCCCCAACACAGGAGACGCAGTGTAACCCGAGCTCTGCTTCAGCCACTGAAAACATTGCACAATGTGCTGGGAGCTCTCCAACCTGACTTGCATTTCCACTATAAAAAGGCAAGTTATTTGGTTTTTCTCCCTTTCAGTTTCATTCACATGCACATTTCTGTCCATGCAGGAAACAAAACCTGAAGAGCATTTACGTATTGTCTTCCATTCCTGAGTAACACACAGGTTTTAACTTCCTGGAAGACTATCAAAACCTAATCGATAGGCTGAGAGGCCTGCCGCGACCAATTTAAACACCTCCCATGTCCTAGCTGAACTGAGCTTAATGCCCAGAGACGGGAAGCCCACGGTTATGCCTCGTCATCGAATGGACCGTTTCCACACCCAAAGCCCGTACTTTCTCAGGAACTGACGCTAAAAGAATACACGCAGGCGCACCTCCTCGCAGGGTCTTTCTGACTATGCCTCCTGCCCATCTCCTCCTCCCCTGGACTACCCTAGCCACGGAGCACTCTTCTATTACTGAACGATGAATCACACTCACTCCTGTCTTGTTTGCATAGCATGCTATGACTAAGTCCCTCGTGGACGGAGATGAGAGCTCTTGTTGCATCCAAAGGACGTACAAAAGTATGTGGTACACACTAAGAGTTCCAAAAAGTTCTGAACTGACTCAGCATCAACACAAGGGCCCATAAAACGATGCACTACTGCAATTTCAAACCAGAGCATCAAGTAACTGCAACTCACCCTCTAAGCATCTGATGAATGCGACAGCATCAGAGGGTTGCTCGACCCTGGAGCCTTTTCAAAGTAGGCCAGTGAAGCTACAGGTACAATGTTCAATCACTACCTCCAGTCTGTGGTATACAAGAGCCCTAAGTATCGTATCATTACCTTCCTTGACACGACTATGCCCTTCTAGACGAGCGCTGTCCAATAGAACTACAATGCAAGATAAATGTGCAATTTTGAATTTGCTAGTAACCATGTTTTAAAAAATTAAAAACAGCTGAAATGAATAACATTTTATTAAATCCAATATATCCAAAATATTACTTCAAAATGTAATCAATATAAAAATTATTGCCCTGGCCGGTTTGGCTCAGCAGTTAGAGTGTGGGCCTACAGTCCAGAGACTTCCGGGTTCAATTCCCACTAAGGGCACGTACCTCAGTTACAATTTGTCCCCGGCCCTGGTTGGGTCATGCAGGTGGCAGCCACTCGATGTGTCCCTTTCACATCGATGTTTCTCTCCCCCTCCCACTCTATCTGAACAAAAAATGGAAAAATGTCCTTGGGTGAGGATAAAAAAAAAAATTATTATTGAGTGCCCTGGCTGATTTGGAGTCGGGCCAAAAACCAAAGAGTCTCAGGTTCGATTCCTGCTCCCAGTAGGGGTTGTGTAGGAGGTGGACTTGCCACATCTCAGGCACCCCATGGCCATGTGCGGCTTCTGGCCGTGGCACTGGACAGTGCAGCCCTAGAACGTGTGCTTAAAGCCAAATAGAAAGCAGCTCTCAGCTTGGCATTGATGAAGAACTTGCCAACCAGATACCCCAAATCCCCCTGGGTAGGCAACATTTGTTTCCTACATCATCACAACACGTAAGGGAGGGAAAGGACAGAAAAATTCTTGCATATAAAACTGTGAATAATTTAATTGTTTTTAAGAGAAAAGATAGCATTTACAGTAAGAGGACCTTTATTTATTTATTATTTTTACTTTTTTTTTTTTGGTATGTGCCCCTGGCGGGAACCGAACCCAGGACTCTCTGGTCTGCAGGCCAACACTCCAACTGCTGAGCCAAACCAGCCAGGGCAGTAAGAGGATCTTTAAAACCCCTATTTGAGCCCTGGCCAGTTTGGCTCAGCGGTTAGAGCGTCGGTCTGAGGTCCCAAGAGACCCGGGTTCGGTTCCCGCTAAGGGCATGTACTTGGGTTGCAGTTTGTCCCCAGCTCTGCTTGGGTCGTGCGGGTAGCAGCCACTCGATGTGTCCCTTTCACATCGATGTTTCTCTCTCTCTCCCTCCCACTCTATCTGAATAAAAAAATGGAAAAATGTCCTCGGATGAGGATAAAAAAAAAGATTTTAAAACCCCTATTTGACACGATACATAATGAATAAAGAAGAACTGCTTGGCCCTGGCCAGTTTGGCTCAGCAGTTAGAGCATCAGCCCTCTAACCAAAAAGTTGCGGGTTCGATTCTGGTCAAGGGCATGTACTTAGGCTGCGGTTAGGTCCCCAGCCCTGGATGGGGTCATGCAAGAGGCAACCAATCGATGTGCTCCTCTCTCATCGATGTTTCTCTCTCTCTCCCCCCCTCCCACTCTATCCGAAGATAGAAAAATAGAAAAATATCCTCGGGTGAGGATAAAAAATTTTTTTAAAAAGCAGCACAAGGCCCAGTAAAACTGATAGCTCACTAGGACTTTGAAAATACATCCCCACAAAACTCAAATCAAAGTACAGAGATTGAGTTACAGATACAAATTTAATAAGTGTGTCTCAAAATACAAAAAAGGAACCTGAGAGTTAGAGACTGGCCGACGTAAGGCCAAGAGAGCAGGACGCAGCATTTCAGGCACGAAGAAGGGAGGGAGCACTACTCTGCGGCGGAGGCAGCTTAGCTTCTGCTGTCTTTCCGGATGCAGGAAAGCACTCTCACATGGTAAGAGCATGTGGACAGACAGGCCTGGGGACTGAAGGGAAAACTGTAGGAGAAACAGGTAAACGAGGTGACTTGGTATCAGTTATTCATTTCTTTTTTAAAAACATGTTTTTATTGATTTTTTAGAGAGAGAGAGAAACATCAATGTGAGAGAAACAGTGATAGGCTGCCGCCTGCACGCCCCCTACTGGGGAATCAAGCCTGAAACCCAGGCACGTGCCCTGAGAATTGAACCAGGACCTCTCAGTCCATCGGACAACGTTCAATACACTGAGCCACATGGGCCAGGCTTGAACTTAGTTAATCCACAGGACCTCTCAGTCCATTGGACAACGCTCAATCCACTGAGCCACATGGGCCAGGCTTGAACTTACAGTTAATCCACAGGACCTCTCAGTCCATCGGGCAACGCTCAATCCACTGAGCCACATGGGCCAGACTTGAACTTACAGTTAATCCACAAGGCGAAGCCAGAGCTGGTAATAACTTATATTCTTGTACTGCCAAATGTATACATTTCACAAATCACCATTAAGCATGACACAAAATAACAGAATGAGTTAAAGAAAGGGAAAAGAAGACATGACAGAAATAGGTAAAATGTAAAAAAAAAACCCCAACAACTTAAGTACGGCAACACTGGCCAATGCTTCCATTCAGTTCCATATCTCCCTATCAGGTTCAGAACCTTGTTTTGCAGGAGTTACTTAAACTAACTCCAAAGAGCCATGTGTCTGAATAAGAGCCATCGCGGCTATTCTTCGAAACCATGGTCCTCACCGTCACTAACAAGAAACCATCTCTTGTTAATTTCAGATCCATGTGCCTTTTAAATGGTGGATTACTGAACAAAAGTTGATTGAATATGAAAGTCATGGAGACTGTCCTGTTTATATTCCGTTGTCGAGAATATTCATAGACACTGATATTTCCTCAAAGTTTTCCAACCCCTGGGAACCCGCCACATGTTCTTTCCCATCTGGACAAGTCCTACTGCTATCTTCACTCAGGTCTCAGAAGAAAAGCACCCCCTGAAATGTCCCAGCCAAAAAGTGTTGGGAAGACTCCGGGAGGCAGAACTCTGGCTCTTCCTTAGCCTTCTGTCACCTTATTGTATTAGAGGACCACTGAGATCTATTTCCACTCATGTTTATGGACACGTGTAGGTATTTATGGGTATTTCATACACAATACAGGATACCACTTTTTCAATAGGCCAGAGTCAAATAGCTTTAAAATCAACTCAACAATTAAAAATACAGACTGCCCTGGCTGGTGTGGCTCAGTGTTTAGAGTGTCGGCCCATGCACTGAAGGGTCATGGGTTTGATTCTGGTCAAGGGCATGTACCTAGGTTGCAGGTTCGATCCCTGGCCTCGGCCAGGGTCATTCAGGAGGCAACCAATCGATGTGTCTCTCTTACATCGATGTTTCTCTCTCTCTCTCCTCTCCTCCTCCCTCTCTCTTTCACACTCTCTAAAAATCAATCTAAAAAAATACATCCTCAGGTGAGGGTGAGGATTAACCAAAAAAAAAAAAAAAAAAAAAACAAAAACCCACAAACTGCATTCTCCAGCAAGGATCACCTACAAAAGATAAGCGAATAGCGCAGTCACTGCTTAAAGAGATCAATGTGAAAAGCCCATTTAGCCACAAAGGACTGACACAAGCCAATCAAGGGCAGAAAATTAATTGGTTCCTTCATTCCAAAGGTGCTGCAAGGGAGTTGCACTTGCACTTTCGAACTGGTGGAGCCCTTTCAAAGCAATTTATGAAATCAGCCTACCAACCTTAAGTGCCAGTCTGAGACCATCACACAGTAAGACACGGAGCCCTGGCCGGTTTGGCTCAGCAGGTAGAGCGGTTGCCCGAGGACTGACGCGTCTCGGGTTCAACTCCTGGTCAAGGGCATGTACCTCGGTTGCGGGTTCAATCCCCGGCCCCGGTCGGAGTCATTCAGGAGGCAGCCAATCGCGTCCTCTCTCCCTCCCTTCCGTTCTATTTATAAATCGATGGAAAAATATCCTTGGGTGAGGATTTAAAAAAAAAAAAAAAAAAGATACCGAGAAAGCTTTACCACCATCCTATCAAAGTCAGAATTAAAATTTTAAGTCATTAAAGGCAAGTTTAGGATGTTTGCTGGATGCAATCAGAACAAGGATATATCACTAGACAGACATAACCCTTTGAAAACTTATTCTGTGCTTGAAAATGACATTTGTAAAATGTGTATGACATAGTACAAAATACAAGCTGTGCACCAAGTTTCAAAGTTCATAGCCGTTGTGAAAAGGAGAAGGAGGGGCCCGAAACCTAGCCAAGGCGAAGGGTGCTGGAGCATTCGACAGTTTTGTGGAA